TTATTATAATTATATAAAAATGAATTTAATGAATTTATAAATATAATGATATAAAAAAAGATAAATAAATAAATCTAGTCAGTAATGTTTACAAATACTTAAAAGATTAGAAATACTTAAAAGATATTAGAAAATTATATATCATAATTATTATATATATCATTAATATTCTTTCCTTTTTAGATAAACAAACCAATTCTTATTATTCTAAAAATTCTTACTATTCTAAAAATACTAGTTCTAAAAATTAAATAAAATTGTCCGAGTTTTTTAAATTAAATAAGTTTTTGATTGTATGTTATAAAGATCAAACAAATTAAAAAAATAGATTGAAACTCAACTATTTTTTTGAAATATGATATTAAATTTCTATTAATTTTTAAACTAACTTTATTTATAACTTTATTTATTTATAATCAATTTATATTTTTCAATTACAAAATAATATACTATTAATGAAATAAAAAAAAAATTATTTATTAGTTTATTAATTAATTAATTTTTCATAGCAAAATATATTAGAATATTGGATATAATAGAATTTGTATAATGATCACTATATCTAAAAAAAATTTCAAATTCAAATATAACTTTAATAATAATTCAATAGTTTGATGATAAAAATTTAATATTATATATGTGTTACAAAATATATATGAAAGCTAGATTTTTCACAATTATAATCTATATAATCGTGTCCAATAATAAGAACACGATGCATAATAGAACAACTATCTATTTATCATATCCGATGGTCAAAGCACGATATGTTATTACAAGAAAAATATCTATTTGTCATATTCAGCGACGAGACGTGTTCACAATGAATGCTAATTAGACTTTCCATCAAATGAAGCTCATGCGAAAATCTCTTCCTAATTCAATTGGAAGGATCACGGTTTCTCAGTGAAATATGATAATAATCAATAATATCATAGATTCGCGACATCTCCAAGTTAAAGAAAAATTCCTTTAAATTGGTGATTAGTGTAATAAAGATATCAAGATATTGCTAATCAGGAATCAACGATTTCAAATTAAAATGATGTTGATTAAATCGTTGAGTTAATCATCTGAAGTATGTCATCTTTGGGATCGGAGATTCTCTTCCATGGCTGAAGCATGTCAAAAATATACAATTATAAGTGCCGATAATGTGACTCTTCTCAAAAACGTAAGTATCTCAGTCAGTCTGAGATAATATCATCCTTTATTTAAACTTAATGAAAATCGGTGATAGATAATAATAAAAAAGTTTCCATAGGAGGACTTTTTCTGAATAAAGTGTTTATAAATTTTGTAAGTAATAAGTGCTCGCATATATATTGAATTATAGCTATTATATAGCTATTATATAAATTATATTCATTAATGAATATATAGCAAAATCGATTATATGTTTTTTTTTCTCGATGTTTTTATTCTGTCCAATATTCAATCTAATATCTAATATAATTAATGTCTAACAGTAATTCTTGATCTAATAGTAATTCTTGATCACTTGAACGTGATCCTATCGTTGAAAATCGTATTTTAATCTAGAATTTCTTTTAGTGTAATGATTTTCCATTATATCTTTTATGTATATTACAATATATTTTTTTAATGAATAATTTTCTCTTGCTCTGTTAATAGCACGCTATTTTTTCTATAATTAATTATAAAATTTAATTTATTTATTATAAATAAAATTAGTTTATTTAGAAATAATAGCAATTTAATAATATTTTTCAAAAAAACAATTTCTGATTTATTTCTGTACAATCCTTTTTGATTTTGATGAATATAATAGAATAAAAAAAATATATAACTTGAAAAATTCGATTAAAATCAAATTTATAAGAATATTTTAACAGATTAACAGCTATCTAAAGATATAAGATCCAAATAATCGTATAATATAATTTTTTTTATATTTTACATATGATTCATGAAAATATTTAAATTTGTACAGAAATTTTATAAATATAATATATATATCTATATTCATAATAGTGCAAAACTGTGCAAAACTTTTTAAAATATAACTATAATTTTATAAATTTTATAATTTAATAAGTAAAATTTTTATCTCAATAATAAATATAAAATTATCTTTATTATTACTTAAAATTATTTGAACTAAATACTCCTGGATTTTTTACTTATTGCGCTAAAGAATGATTATTATTGTTTTGGATCAAATATAACTATAGATTGTATTTATTTTTAATATATAATTATTAAAATTACCATAAAATTACAATATTAACTTTTATTTGGAATAGCTAAATATGCTTGATTTCCCTAGATATGCTTGATTAAAACTTGGTTATATTATATTATATGTATAATTTTATTTTATAGAATCAGAGGAAGAAATAAATTTATATTTGGCTCAGAATCATTTAAAAAATTTATGAAAGCAAATTCAGGATTACATAAAACAAGCTTAAAACTCATTGATTTTTTTTAAAGATACTTTGCATTCGAATGATGAGTTATAAACACCACATGGTTTGATGTAATAACTCGAGAGGTGACTTTCAGGTACCACTTAGATTCGAATAGCGATATTTATGATTGATTTTTTTAGAATATCGTTTCATGAATAGATTCCTAAGGTCATATAATATATATAATCTTATAAAGTATAAAATAATATATTGTCAAATAGCTAGATTTTCTTATCTCAAATTAGATCGCAAATCAGACTGCATTTTCGGCATTAGTCCGAGTTTGACAATTTGCCGAGTGGCAATAGGAATAATATTTTCAAAGTTTTTGAGTTTTGTATAGAATGTAGTAATCAAATTAATTCAAGTGAAGATGAGTTTGATTTTTCGTTATTAAGTGACAAAATTATATTCAGAAAGAAATTGACAATAGAAAAGGAAAGCAATAATAAAAATAGAGATGAAGTAAGAGGTATAAAAAGACAAAAAATAAAATAGAATAAGAAGAATAAATAATAAATAATTATATTAACAAAAGTTAAGAAAGATTATAAAATGTGCTCTCAACAAAATAAGAAAGATAAAAAACTGAGGATGCATTTTGGCGTTTGCTTTATAAAATATCACACAAAATATAGAATTTAATATTCAACAAATTTTTTTTCTTTATATGTAAAGATATATAAAATATTAAAATATAAAAGTTTTATACATTAATTTGTGTGTGAAATCATTTTAAATTAGCTATAAAAAATTCACTGAACATCGCCTCGAGTTGTTGGTTCGGTTAAACAAAAAAGGCCTCGATCGCAGAGGTAAATATCTTATATTTATTAAATGTCGTCATCAAACTATGTTGAATATTAGTCTCGTTTATAATATAATAAATTCATTGTTCATAATATAATTTTTTATTGATATAATATTTGTCATATTTATAATACTTTTTTGGTTGTTTGAATTTGTTCATGCTTGTTTAGTGGGACATAATCAACGCTATCATTGCGGTTTGACTAAACTATGTACATGATCGACCAGTGTTTTTTATTAATAACTTATTAACAAAACTGTAAAAAATTTTTACAAAAGAAAATGTTGCTTAAAATTATTAGGAATCTGTTCCTACATCCTACATAATTACGATACTCATGTATATCTCCTAATATAAACCTAATATAGACGAAATTGCATCAAGGAACAGTCAAATAACAATATTTTTTTTTTAGACTTATTTTTCTCATTTTAGACTTATTTTTCTCATTTTCATAATAAATAAATAAATAAAAAATATGATAATCTTAATATTTTTCAAAACATCTTACTAATAAGTAATAGATTAGAAAGTAAAAATAAACTACGTAGTTTTAATGTATTTACTATTAAAATTATATATATATATATATATATATATATATGATTTAGGATTATATGAATGAAATTTGATATGAATCTGAAAATAAATATATTTATATCCTATAAATGTAATAAATATGATAATTTCATCAAATATTTTGGTTTTAAATTAAATATTGATTGAATTTAAAATAGTTAAATGCATATTAAAAACATTTATTAAATTTATTCGAAAAAAACTTAAAAAATAAATTTATATATATTATATATACATATATACAGAAATATATTCCATGTATTTATTGCAAACAAAATCATAAAAATTAATCAAAAAATTAATTATTATTCGTTAGATATAACTTCATTACAAATAATAATTTCACATACAATTAATCTAATTTCTATCTCTTCAAATAATATTTTACGAATTTTATATTTAAAATATATATAATAAATTGTTTAATTTCTAAATATCTTTTAATTTCTTTTAAACTATATAATCTAATTAAATAATTATATTTATTTATAAAAGTTTATATAAATATATATTTTAAAAGTTTTACATATATAATACATATATAAAACTTTTCTATATAAATATTTCTATGATTAAATATACATTTTATTTT